AAAACAAAACATTCAAAAAGGATTCTACACCTTTGACCGTATTAGTAAGTAATTTCGCGTGCATCCAGTAACTTGTCCACAAGTCCTGTGTTTGTGAGTGAATGAAAAGTAACTAGAAAAAGAGCAGTTGAACGAGGCAGCTAGACCTACCGCACAGTGGTTCTGACTTGGAATGATTCCGTTTTCAGATTGTCAACCAATGAATGGAGACAACTTTTTATAGCTTCAGGGGTGATAAAGTATACCGAAAATGGAAGAAAATCAGCGAGGCCACTTCAAATTCGGAGCGCGCACTGCGGTCAGTATGAATGTTATCTTGACTTACTACTGTATTGACTACTTTAACATGACAGGTTAAGTAGTGCTTTGGTTATATATATACACTTGCCACACTGCTGCCTTTTCCTCTCTCTCTTCTCCTTTTCAGAACCCCATTCACGGTGGGAAATCCTTGGCAACTCTAGGGAACATGCACCCAATGTACATGACTGTCTGGATCACAGCTCGTATCAAGCGCGTTCCATATGACCTTTCCCAACAAATTCACTATTGATCTCGGCCAATCGCCAATAGAACCTATTGTGCACCTTCCCTATTTGTACTCTACTATTGAAAATGTGGCTGTATTATACTGCTTCTGTCAGTGATATGGTGTAAATATGCTATCAGAAGCTGACTCTTATACTTAATTAAACTGCTATAACTTTTACAGTAATTGTAAAAGCATTTGTGACAATTTGATCTAGCCTGTAAACTGGCGTGTCTCTTGTAACTTAGTTATTTGAGAATAAATTATTATTATTATTATTATTATTATTATTATGACAGTGAACACGTACATATGCGAATTGGGTCTGCATCTCATACTTTATCTAAGGTCTCATATAGGAAGGAAGAAAATGGGATAGACCAGATGAAATAGGTGCATTTGCTGATGATTTCGTGGTTCTGAAGAGATACTGAAAAGTGCCAGAGAACAGGTAGGGGGCAGACAAAGCAAGATGGCGACTGAGAAGAGGAGGAGCACCGTGACCGTAGTGTGACTTCACTATATATACAGAAAGAGCAAAGGTCAACCGGTTAAAAACAAGTACGAGTAAACAAATATTGGACACTACCAAACACCTGAAACCGTACCGAAAGAACAAGAACCGAGAGCGAACAAATCAACTGGCTTATACTAGCTCCTGAAAAATATATTGGATCTTGAATACTGGATAATATGTTTACTGGTATAACTGATTATAACAATGAATTTCGCTGTTTAACAAGTGATGTTCTACTACTTGAAAGTGAAGTCACTACACTGTCTTCTTGTTCTCCCCTTCTTGAATCCTATCCAGATTATCAACAGAGGTTCATTCCTTTTAATGTCGCTTAATAATAAGATAACAACACATTTCAAGAGGCATGCCGAACTCCAAACAATATATGTAGATAATGTCCCGGACTCTGGAATGCGAGTAATGTCATTTGCGTTGTAACGAACCACTGATGGTTGAGAGTTAAATCCAGGACTGTAGTTGACAAGAATTGATGAGGTAAATGTTCAATGTTCTTCTTGTTTGGATTCGCCAGATAATAATTTGGCACGCTCCCGAAGTCTTCGGCAATGCCAAGGCTAATATTTAAGAAGCATGATGAATTGTTGAAAAAGAGAAAGGCGAGGAGAAGAACAGAAAATATTATTGTTTAAAGCCCAGTCATGACTCAGAATATAAGATTTCTCGATAAAACAAAGTTATGATTACTCAGACCTTTCTTTTTCTGTACACTTGCACTCATTTACGTCAATAAAGACACCTCACTAGTTTGCTAACGAACGAGCAAATAATATTATGAATGGAGGAGATTCAAAAGGACTAAACTGTTAGAAATTGTGTTGATTTACAAAATACAATAATGAAGGAACAGTGATTTGCCGCTTTGGTGATATTTCACTTATCGATTTCCACCATTGCTGAAGAAGTTACGAGTGAGCTCTTCTTCGCCATAATTGCCCAGATCAGCCCGTTATAGGACTTTTTGGTTGGAAGTGAAACCGGCTCAAGGTTATAAACATGCGTTATAGACATGGTTGACATAGAAAACTAACATCAATATAACCGATTAGTTACATCCTGATCTGTCGTAGGGAGCCGTAAGCCGAAAAAATGTTCTAACCCGTAGTTATGGGTGGATCGAGATTATCGCTCCATCGTCATGATTTCTGGTTAGTTACTCCATCCTCTCTCCTTTGGTGATGTTAGGCTCGCTAACATTTGTGGTATGTTTTGATAAATGTTTTAGTCAACGATATATTATTTGCACACCTTGTTGGAATACACTGTGTTTACATGTTCCATGAAACAAGCAAACCAGACAATTTCAGCTTCTGTGTCATGGATTATATCTATGTGGTGGTGAGGTTAACGAACGATATTAATTTGAAGATAAAGGATGCTTAATAGTTAGTTATGAGATGGGAGGGATAGCTGATCAAATAGTATGAAAAGTTGTGTTAAAAATTCATAAGTAAGGTGATAAGTGGGTAAGAAAGCAAGGTGTTTGAGTATTAATGTATTGCAGCAATGTAAGAAGACAATAATACAACATTTGATGTTAGGAAAACTCCGAATTTTGGGGATAGGAGCATAAAAGTGTGGCTTACTACTGTTAGTAAGAGTAGGATAACAATGTATCTATCATTTGGCGATACCTGCATGAGGTGCACCATAATGATGATCAAAATGTTAGGTGGACAATAAAAAAATGCCTCAGGATTTGGTGTGAGCTCTGGAAATAGTTGATCAGCCTCTTTGGATTCTAGCAACGGCATTAATAGTTTCTTGAACCTGGTGATTGCGTCACATATACGGGTAGAAATCCCTAGTCTGTTCCACATTAGACTTAAACGTATTGTAAAGAAATTACAACGCTATGACTTTTTGTATTTCGCCGTTAGTAGTGCATATGCGCCGTTTGTGAGTTATTAGGCAGGATCCTGGTTCATAATTGGTTGAGATATAAATTATTAGAGATGAGGTTAATGGTGAAAATATTTTGATATCTGGTAGGGTTGTTAACATATTAAGTCGACTATCCAAGCCATGAGCTTTCAACAAATATTTCAAAAAGTTTTGTTCCTTTGATTGAGAACCAAGAGATTTTAGGAAGGTCAAAATACTAACAAATAGCCTTGCCTGTGAACGGTAGGGATGAAGCAATCGTGGATACTTCCGACAATATTGCCAGATCTCCTGTTGGTGCAACAGGCTGACGGTAAATAGAGCCATACAGCAAGGAAACTGCTTTTGATGGTCAGACTGATCCACGCAGAATCTCGTAGTTTGTTTAGCTTCGGCATATTAGATTATAGTGAGTTTAGGCTAGTGTGGGCTTATTTGAGGCATCCTTTTCCCCGTGCCTATAACCTATCGCTTCGAAACAGACCATAGTACTCAAGAGATATATTTAGATTAGAAATATTACTGGTGGTCCGTGGCTCAGATACTATTATAAGTAATGATTGATAAAGAGATGCAAATATGACTAAATCTGTCCCTTTATTAAAGATCGAACAAGCACTGATAAGGCATCTGTGATGCAAATAACGCACCAAGATAAAATAATCGAGAGTATCTCGAGTAAAGAATTTGCCTTCATGGGTATGATGCGGGTTTGAAGCCAGGGAATGGTAGTTTCACTGCGTATTTTGTTGGTAACAAGGATTAAGAGATGACATATTAAATGAGTTACTGAAGCTTCCTGGAGGGTTTGTTAGCCCGGAGGCAAGAATGAAAATGTTGGTTGTTCAAGATTGTGCTTATTTATGCATATAAAATGAAATGACTTGGGGTATACGCCGTGATAGTTGTGTTTCAAGGGGCTGTATCCAGAGAAATCTTGAATGGATTGAGTGTGTATGAAGTCAACACCAGTCTTGTCACAGCTTATGTAACGTGACTCTAATAGTCATTTGGGAACGAGACAAAGGACCTCTTAGTTGTCATCAAGACTACAACACAAATTACATCTATCAGCACATGTTGACACTTAGAGGAAGGTGATGATGTGTAGACTGATCACGATGTCTTACTAAGCTCATCTAGGTGTGATCAATTCCTATAAATCAACATACTTCCTAAAGTTCACTTAACACTCCTCCTGGTAACCGTTATATGTATAAATATAAAGATACATACATACATGTGGAAATGAATAAGTCGTCGAGCTATTTATGCAACCACCATTAAAGCTAGGCTGCAAAAAAAGATAAGCGTACATGCTTAGACAAAATTCGTAGTAGTAGTAAAAAGATATGGGAGAAGTGCTACGGTTCAAGCGATAGTCTGTTAAATAACTATTTAAAGAGCGTAGATATACCTACAAACTGAAGTCTTTGAACAGTAAGAAAAGGTAAATAATGTATTTTATCGTCGATGAACAAATAATTAAAAGGGGCATCAAAAAGCTATAGAAAAATTGTAAGAGACGATTCCTTAGATGCATCGAGAGCTCAGCTGTTCATAAATTCAAAACACCTATCTAGTAACCTACTTACACCTCTAACCCCCATCGAAAATAGGTCGCCAGTTAGCGTTCTCCAATAAACTCTGTCCGGAACCATCTTTTACAGTACTAACCAATCAATATTCATTCTTTCCATGTCTGTCTCCGATTCTCGGAACAGTGCATTCATTAGTCTACACTATGACAATTTCAAGTTACGGCTTCTCTCGTGACGCAGTTGGGTGATTTTTACACTGTATATGTCTCATCCACCTCTAACACGTTTTCCTAATATCTTCCTCAACTGCAAACATATCTGTTATTCACCACAGTAGGTAGTTGTTGGTGGTTGCTGACCAATGGATCCATAGTATATTGTGTAGACAACTCTTAATAAACACCTGTATCTTGTGCATGATGAATTTCGTGGTTTTCCAAGTTTCCAGTACATACATTTGAACCAACATCCTTCCAAATCTTCATTGAATTTTGAAGTCCTGTAATTCAACAATCGGTGTTTTAACATTCTCCTTTCAAACGCATCAGTTCCGTTGAGATAAAAATGGCGAATCGTTGGGGCCGTAATGGCAATCACCGTTCTTTCTTTTAAACTAATTTTCCCGTAATTTTGATTCGTACTAACTTGTAAAATGTTTTCAGCACCTTACGGTGGTGGGGCAGGCGGTGGTGGCAGTGGTTACATGGGTTCTGGGGTTGTCGGTGTAGGTTTTTATATGGGTGGGCCTACCCCAAATGATCGCAGACCCTAAAATGCTGCCCCGGTTGCTAAGCCTTTTTATGGTGGATATCGTGAAGACAACTACAATAGACGTTCGGATCGAAGAGATGATTTTCGCGGTGGTAAGCGAGGTCAGCCAAAAGGAAGGAGCCCGGAGAAACGATACCACGACACACCACCTAGCCAGCGTAAAGATCACAGACCTTTCGGGAAGCGTCAATCATCATTTGCTCGCTATGAGGTGAAGATTCCCAAAGGGTTATTCAACATATCCTCATCGTCCTTACCCGATCTCCGACATCGATACCCTCATCTTAACATATCTGGAGACTTTTACGAGTGTACATCATCATGGGTAGAATCGTTCCCCATGCACGCCCCATTCGAGCTAGGAAGTGGCACAGATTACCATGTAAGTTCTGTCTTTTCATGTTGTGACGCGCTTGTCAGGTTTTCCACCGGGACGTTGATCCCCCCACACCCATAGACTCCGCTCTCCTAAACCCACCTGATGCAGATTACTCATATTCAGCCCGAGTTATGCTGATGGCTTGTCCGCAACTTGGTGAGTTATATAAGAATACTTGTCGCATGGCTGACGATGCAAATGGAGCTGGTAAAGTTCTGCCTGATAAAAGTATACACTTTCTGGTCGGTGGTCGTGCGAAGAGTGAAACCATGGCCCTTGGTGGACCTTGGTCACCAAGTTTAGACGGACCTGATCCTCAGGGAGATCCAAAGACTCTTATCAAGACAGCTATCCGGACTTTCAAAGGCTTGACCGGACTAGACTTATCTTCTTGCACTGAATGGTTACTTAAATTCAATAATTCGTTTACGCTTACTTTACAGGGTCAGATTTATGGAGCTCAAGTATTATCGTATGCCTGACACCAAAGCCCCAGCTTTCACAGAGGCTGAAGAAGAAAGGGAGATTACTTCAGAACGCCCGGAGGTCGTGGTGTTCTATATACCTAACGCAGCCCATCTAATCCCAACCGAGGAGCAGTGGGCTAAAACCAAGGAGTATTACAACTCTATACTTCAAAAACAACTGACCGCAGAAAAAGTAGAAGAAGATAGTATGGTTGAACAGCAAGATGGTGACACAACTGTTGCCGATGTAAGTGTGGAAGAACCTGAAGAGTCATGTGCTCGCTCAGATATGGAGCCGACTCACTATTCTAAACTTGATGTAAATACTCTCAAAGTAAGGTGCTATTAGTTCTGTCATAATCTTCACAGGTTAGCGACTTGCGAAATGAATTGGCAGCTAGGAAGTTAGATACCAAAGGCCTTAAAGTTAACTTAGTGGCCCGTTTGCAAGGTGCTTTGGATGAGGAGAAGAAGGCTGATGCCCCGGAAGATACTAAGGTTGATGAGGAGCCCAAAGGTAAGTAGTAATCTATCTCGTGCTTTGGTTCTCAGTAATTAAGAGTTAATAGGACCACAAGAACGGCTGTGGATGTTTTTATTGTGATAATTAACCAAACAATTGGTTATGAAACTCATATCGCCCTTCTTTCTGCTTGTATTCAGCCGAACAGACTCCGAATAAGACCACTTCGCCGTCTGCGACGCAGTCAAAGGATGATTCAAAGGACCTATCCGAAAAAGATCGCCGGCGTTTGGAACGCCTCTACCGTCTTGGTGATAAGCCGGCCATCGTTATCCATCCAAACAAGTCAGCTAAGGGTGGTCGTTTCGATTGTCATCGCGTTTCCTTGTTCTCTCTCCTCGATTATCACACAGAAGACCAGAAAGAGCACAATTTCGAAGTATCCCTGTTCGCTGAACAGTTCCATGAAATGCTCCAACGAGATGCAGCCTTCACAATATTCAAGGCTATTCACGATGCACCTGAGAAAGAAATTAAACCTGAACAAGATGGAAAGTACGACGATATTCTGCATAACGTAGATGTATTTAGGTCACAATTATTAATTAGTTGATCTGCCCTTCCAGATTGTCGTCGTCCAATAGCTGGCGCGTCATGATTGGATAGGCATAGATATTATGTATAATTCATGTTTTTCTCTGTAATCTTTCCACATATAACCCAAAGTTTTACTTTTTAGACTTGAAAACGGTTTCGATTCCGACGAGCCTGATTCCAAGCGGCGCAGAAATGACAGCCAGAATGGTCATAGCGATGATCAGGAAGAGGTCAAGGTTCGTCGTCTCAGGCGTACTGTGAACCCAGCTCTGTTATTCGCGTTTACATACTTTGACATGAGCCGGGCTGGGTACATTCGAGAGCACGATTTGTGTGAAATACTGCATCTTCTCGGTCTTCGATACTCCCGTACTCAGGTTAGTCTGCAACTTCCTATCACGGAAGATGTTTTTAAGTTGTCACCTTTGTGTATTTGAGCAAATGTCCGTGTGTTGGTTAAAACCAAATAGATAGCGAGTTCACTTGATGTATTTTTCTACTAGCACTTTCCTGGAATTAATCGATGCCTTAACTTCGTTTGCAGATGCGTAAATTAGTGGCAAGGGTAGCTACCCGTCGTGACCACGTGTCGTACCATAACTTAACAGATGGCGATATTGTCGAAGGCGATGATAAAGACGTTGTTTCCATGAATTTGACTGTCAAGGAAGATGTTGAGGTAACAAGAATGCTTGCGCTTGGTAACAGGGCTCTATTCGACATGACGGTTCCGCAAACTCCTGCAAGGTAAGTTCTGTGTTTCTTGTGACCTCGTTTAAGGATTGTTCTTGGTGGTGGGAATACGGAGCAAATGCTAAAGCGCGTAGAGCTTGCCGAAGCTGTCAAACAAAAGCTTGAATTCCAATTCTTCCAGATAAAGGACGAGCTAGGTAGGCAGCTAATGCTTGTATTATTTGTCTTCTAGAAAAAACTCGGGTCAAAGTGAACTCGTTCAAAGATACTGAAGATGAGTTAAGGGCAGAAAATCGCGATTTGGCGTCACGCTTAAAGTCTGAACAGAAGCAGCTGCATGAATACAGAAGTCAGGCAAACACTTATAGCCATTTATTGCGCTCAGCTAGAGATCAAATGGATAAGGCCCTTTTCGACATTAATAAGCAGTTTGACAAAGAAAAAGCTAAGCGGGAAGCCGAAAAAGCCGCTGCTGATGCAGAAAAAGCTAAGGCTGAAGAGGAGGCCAATAAGCTCAAAGAAAAAGAAAAGGTAACTTAGGTTTGTCTTCTTGATACAATATTTCAGGATGATAAAGTTGACGATTGTGAAAAGTCAGAAGAAAAGGAATGGGAAGTTGTTGATGCCGTCTGATTTATGACTATGCATTTACTGTAAGAGCGTCAGTAATTACCTCTTACATGTATGCCATTTTAACTAAACCTAACTTTGCCATACACTTGAAATATACTGTATACGCTCTCCAAATACTTTTTGTGTTTCTGTACTTAATTCAGATTGTTACTAGTAATCCGATAATGCAATCTAGGTGTTGCGACTAAAACTGGGCGGGATTGTAACGGTAGGTTCACTCAACGTTCGACAAATTTGTGGAGTTCGGTCACTTGATGCTAACGCGCTCGACGACTTCTCAATGTTAGGCTGTGGATTGCTAAGTTGAGATTATCGGTTGCGCGACAGTACTACTCAACTTATGTAATATGCAGTGTTCATTATCGGTAACCTGTGTTGGGAGTACCTTCCTAAAGTTTCCCTCTAACTTGAAGTTCGTTCTGGAATCAGTGCTCGGGAAGAGTTCGTCAGTCAGATGCAACGTAGAACCTCGTATGTAAGTACATTGGTTCATGTCGCCATACCACATCAGCACAGATGTAATTGTCAATTCAAATCCAATAGTAGAAGAGGTAGTAAAGGTATTAGAAGTAATCGAAGAGGTTGGGATTAGAAGATATTATTCAAGAAGCATGTTTAACGAGAAATGTTTAGAAAGTCAAAACTAGGGAGGTTATAGAATCGAGGTTATGATTTGAGAGGACACAAAGCATAAATGCACCGGCGCCACTGCGAACGATTTTGAGCCATGTCATTCAAGGTCTCTAACCATCGATTATTATCCTCCCGCGGACTCCAACCAGGTTGTCGACAATTACCGACATAGCTCAGTCCACTAGTCAATGACTTCATGGATTTCTGCCATGTTCTGGTTTGGCCGCCCCTAACTTTCTTCCAACCTGTTCCTACACTACAAAACAAAGTTCATCGAGGCAGTCGGTGGTTAGGCATGCGCAACACATGTCCCAACTACCTTAACTGATGAAGTTTCATTACTTCATCTATTGATCTGCCATTCTTACCTAGCACCCGATTCCCAATAACAGTGTTGCTCACTCGGGTGTCCTACGATATACGAGCAATGCTTCGAAGACACCTATGATCGAAAACCAGTAACCCTACGAATATCTTCTACTCTCATTGGCCATGTTCCACAACCGTAAAGTAAGACGGAGCGATCCACTGCACAGTACACTCGTCCTTTAATCAGCAAACGGATATCTCGCCTTCGCCATATGTGACGCAGGTTGGCAAAAGCTAATTGAGCCTTCTGTATCGTGCACAGATTTCGTCAATCACCAGGCCATCGGCACTGATGAGACTCCCAAGATAAGTGAAGCGGTCTACACGTTCGACTACTTCACTCCCTATCACTAGTTCAGGTGCTGATGAAACCCAATCTTGAAGCAACATTTAGCGTTTTGAGGGGGAAAACCGCATCCCGAACACGTTTCCATTGTTGCTTCGGGTGGTCAGAATACTGCATTCTGTCAGCATCTTCACGAAGTAGGACTATGTCGTCGACATATTCTAAGTCAATAAGCGAGCCACCTGGTAAAAGGTCTACTGAAAATTCAGACGAGGATAAGGTTATTTCTAGGAGCATGTCTATGATAAAATTAAACAAGAATGGAGAGAGTGAACATCCGTGATGGACACCACTTGGAGTAAAGAATTCCGATGACAGTTCGCCATAAGCTCTCACTCGACCAGTGGTGTTCGAGTAGAGAGCTTGTATAAGGCTAATGTACTTCTCTGGTACACCTTTCAATGACAGACACTGCCACAGAACCTCACGATTCACTGAGTCAAATGCCGCCCTAATGTCCAGGAAAACAACTATTGTAGGACGTCTAAATGTGTGTCTATGTTCCAGGACTTGTCTGAGTGTGAAGACGTGGTCTATTCAACCACGTCCAGATCGAAAACCAGACTGGTTTTCTCGAGTTTGCCCTTCACGAGCTTTCGTTAGGCGCCGAAGTATTATTGAGGCCAATATTTTAGATACTATATTAGTTAGACTTATTCCTCTGTGATTGTCAGAAGAAGACGTTTGTCCTTTCTTATAGATTAGGACAATCAGTGATTGAGACCAGTCGGATGGGATTATGTCCAGTTCCCAGATTCTACCTAAGATCTCAGTCAATCTAGCTGCTAAAACTGGACCACCATCCTTAAATATCTCAGGGGTCAGTCTATCAGGACCTGCAGCTCGTCCTCGCTTCAGATTTCCTAACGCTTTCTCAACGTCATTAAAACTAGGGGGACTTACGTCGATTTGCCATTCAGGATGACTGGAGATCGTGGGTAACCGAAGAGTGGCTCGAGGCCGGTTGAACTGATCCCTTAAGTGTTCTGCCCATCGATCCAGTCTCCTGGATTGAGAATAAATGAGAGTCCCGTCATTTTCCGAGATAGACTCATTTACACTAGGACTCCTAATACCAGTTTCCTTGATAAGTCAGAAAAGTTGTCTACTGTTGCCGATCGCCGCTGCCTTTTCCATCGCTTTTGCTTTCGCCACCCACCACTGTTCGCGGTCGTTACGCAGACTTTCTATAAGTCTGCGCCTAAGCTGACTACGCTGTTCATCATGCTCAGAGTCAGGTGGGATGCGTTTTCGAGGATCCATCAGTTCGGTGGATGCGACTGAAATCCACGGCTTCATCCTAGCCTTATGGTTTACCTTCCTAGCAGATATCACTGCTGTTTCCACAGCCTTTTTGATATCATACCAACCTGCTTCTGGATGGGAATCGCTTGCATGGTTGCTTAACTCTCTTTCTAGTTGCTCCTGAAATATTTTCTTGGTTTGATTATCATTAAGTAAAACCTTAAGAGGTTTCCTTGCAGTGTCTTTCCTACGTCCAGTAAGCCTTAAACAGATACGAGCTCGCACTAGAGCATGATCTGAATCCAAACATGTGCCCCAGAACGAGCGACAGTCTTCTATCGAACCCCTCCATCGGTGGCTGATGGCGATGTGATCTAGTTGAGTCCGACGTTGAGACGACTTTGGAGGTCGCCAGGTCAACAGATGCTTTTCCTTATGCCTAAAGTTGGTGTTCGCTAAGAATAGGCGGTTATCTGAGCACAGTTGCAACAGACGTTCGCCATTGTCTGTTCTCTCAGTCGCTACACCATAACATCCACCTAGATGTCTTTCCTTTTCACCTAGTCTACCTACTTGAGCATTAAAGTCACCAGCCATTATTACTATATCAGAGCGCCTAGCTTTTTGGAGGAGGTCCGAAAGCTTTCTGTAAAACTCATCTTTCACCTCGTCTGGACTGCAGTCAGTGGGGGCATAGGCAGATACGACGAAGAGGCAACGGCAAGTGTCCCTATCTTTCCGAAACCTAACTGTCCCGTTTAGTCGGGCAGCGCACAAGCAACTATGTACTTGGATCCAGTCAAGGAGAGATTGTTCAGCTCTACGACTCAATGCTATGCCTACGCCAGCAAGACCCTTGGAAGCAGCATCAGGGTTACCGGATACACGAAGAGTAAATCGAGCTGCTTCTTTATTTTGGCAAGGTGAAATCAGATTAATAATTTTACTAGGATCCTGTATGCGCGTTTCCGAGACGCAGCATACATCGATGGAACGAGATCCTAAAGTCCTAGCTAATGATGCCTGTTGTCCTATTTGACACAATGTCCGTACATTAAATGCTCCGACATGTAGTTTAGAACGGGGTTTAAGGAGACCAGGAACGACGTTTCGCGAACTCGTATTGTCTGCATTAGCTGTGCACTGTGATAAATAAATGTGAGAAGAGTTAGTCGTGGAGATAAGAGAAGTACTAGGGGGTGTAGGAAGGATTTGATTTTGAACAATTTGGTCTCTCGTACTGTTACGGGTATGAGGGCGGTTGTCACTTCCCGGCTGCCCACACCGTGGAAGGTTGTCTCTTGAGGGACCTGAAAAGGAAGATAGATTAGTGTTGGTCTTGGAGACCTGGGAGCGTGACCGTAGAGTCCAATGGACAACTGCTTGAGGCCGGTCACGCACGGCCTTTTTATGAAAGGTTTGTTGAGGATTAGCTCCGTTCTTAAAGGCCCTTAGTAGGCACCCTTACCCAAGGAGACGGAAATCCGTGAGGTAGGGTGAGATGTGACAATTTTAGGGTTGACCTTTTCTAACCCTTCCTTCCTTGTGAGAAGGCAGCATCGCTGCAGATGTTGGTTGTCCTGGGTAAACACCTTACTGCTGTTACACCCCTCTGCAGTCAGCAGTACGACTTCGCCCTCAGACCTTGGGTAGCTGCTTTTAGTCTCATCGTTCTCCAGTCGACCAGCCTGGCATGGTAGGACCTGCAGGAACATATGTTCCAGCCAGTATAGCTCGGTTGGGTCATCACGATAGGCAAGCCCGACCACCACGTCAAGGTAGCAGCTACGGTCGGGGAAAAGAGTTTGTAGACGATGTCAATATGCCGCAGATTCGAAAGGACAGTTGTGGCATTAAAGGTGCGACCTAATGTGCACTTAGTCCCGACTAGTTGCTTACATCGTATCTCGGGCAACCAAGCGTCGTTTTTTGGTCAGTCCGAGAGTCCATGGTGACGAATAACTTGGGAGTATTCTCATCATTGTTTTGCGACTTGAAACAGCACATTCGGTGGGTCGTATGTCATCCAGACCGTAGCTGCTACATCGATATGGTGACCGGGCTTGCATGTTGTGACGACCTGACTGGGCTGTGTTGTCTGGAGCATGTTCACTTGGGTCCCGACATGCCGGGCAGATCGAGTAGAGAGCGGCAAGAGTAAAAGCAGCAATTCCAGGTCTGAGGTCGGATTCGTAATGCTAACTGTAATGAGGGTGTGGTCAACACTAATCTGATCACCTTTTCGAGTGCTTCAAGAGACCGACGTTTTGGGCAGACAAGAAGTGACGTCCGACATCATACTCGTAACAGCACACGGGGTCCGTCTGATCTTAGTCAAGTTCTTCCTTATTAAGTCATGTCCACCACCAGCCTCCTTTCATTCGTTTATCACCTCGCGCCGCTAATCAGAACAATCCAACTACAAGAAACATTAATCCTGGTCCGTCCGAAGATAAAGAGCTGTCACTATTTATGCTCCGTGTATCTGGAAGCCCCACTCCTGCTTCCTGCGGCGTCG